GGAACTACCTGATTTGGGAATGAAGATCAGAAGAAGTACTTGCCTATAAAGTTGCTAAAAGTTGGAGTGATCAATTAAAACTAATTATAGAATGGATATGGATATAGAATGGAAGTTACCTGGCTTGGCAAGTAGTAAGATACTGGGACAGTAATTAAGTCAGCTATGTGATATGGCTGCAAAAAACAGCATTGCTTCAATAGAAATATGATTTCTAAATCATGGGGAAAAAACATTTTCTACTGTATCGTGCAGAGGAGGCAGGAAAAAAAAGGTTTAAGCACAGACCTTGAAATAATCTTTTTTTTAATGAGTGCAGAAACAGCAATAGCATGACTTAGTGGCTTCTAATCAGAAAATAATTGGAGGAAGTGCCACAGGTGCCTGACTCAGGATTTTGCAGAGCCCTTATTTTCTTCCTCTTCTAACTTGCTAAAGCGAATTGACAGCTAATCTTGCAAAGTATCTAATCACAATTTGGCAAAAGCATAACAATAGACTTTTGCAATACAGAGAGACCTCGACTTATAACCATTCATTTAGCGACTGTTCAAAGTTACAATAGTGCTGAAAATAGTGACTTAAAACTGATTCTTGCGCTATCAAGTGTTGCAGTATAACCACGGTCACAGGATCAAAATTTAGGCACTTGGCAACCAGCATGCATTTACAGTGACTGCAACATCCCAGGATCGCGTGATCGCCATTTGTGACCTTCCCAGCCAGCTCCAAACAAGCAAAATTAATGGGGAAAGCTGGATTTGCTTAATGACAACTGCATTGATTCAATTAACAACTACCTTGCATAGCAACAGAAATTCTGGTCCCAATTGTGATCATAGGTTCAGGACTATCTATATAAAGTGACTTTTTCTGCTGTATTTCCCTCTATAATATATTTTAAACATATAAGATGCATGATACATGGCAATACATATCTCTGTGTGCCAGCTAGGGATTTTGAGAGGTTAAGACTTTTAAATGAAGAATAAATTTCATTTTTCATATTATAGTTAATCCTCGACTTATGACCACAACTGAGCCCAAAATTTCTGTTCCTTCCATCCTTCCGAGGTGGGTAAAATGAGAACCCAGATTGTTGGGGGCAATATGCTGACTCTCTGTAAACCGCTTAGAGAGGCCTGAAAGGCCTATGAAGCGGTATATAAGTCTACTGCTATTGCTATTGCTATTATTATTGCTATTA